CTGGGTGATCTCCAGAGGTCCCTTCCAAACCTCAACGTTCTGTGACTCTGTGTGATTCTGTGAATTCCTATTTTGTAGTACTACTTAGAAAAACAATCTTATTTCAGTGAAGGAAATGCTATTCCGAGAACTGGAAAAGAGGACTGAGTCAGGAAGTGGGAAATGGGCAAGGTAACGGAGCAGTTTACTTTCTAACAGATTAAGGAAGAGAAGGAAAAATACAAGGAGGGAGGAGACAAAGTTCTTGTGGTACATGTTATCTCCTTAATGTCTTTTTTATACAGCTTTCTTTAAACTTGTTTGTGTGTTTATATCACTACAACTCGCAAATTTGGTTTGAATTGTTTTTTTTTTACCAGATGGCTGCTTATTTTGGTTATTCCGTGGCTGCCACAGATATCAATGGGGACAAGTAAGTGCTCTCTTCTCCCCACTGCCACCCAACTTGTTTCTGGAAAGAAAAGAGAAGCTTTTTATCAAAAAGACTTTCCTACAGTGTAGATTTCTGTTGCTAGCACTCAGCATTGTTTTAAAAATTGTAGATTTGTTTTTGTATTTATCTAAATAGGCATGTGTGTATCTGCATGCTTTAAATGCATTGATGTATTTCTGCTTTGTCATTAAATACTTGCACTCGGTTGCAATTTAAAGGTAACTTTCATCTTAATACTGATTTCAGTGCTCAGTTAGTCCTACTAACAAATGCTTAAGAGGATGAGACTGAATTTTCATGCTGTTACTGAATAGCCTTATCCTCCTTTGATTCAGTTACACAGATTTGTTTATTGGAGCCCCTCTTTTTATGGATCGCGGTTCTGACGGGAAGCTTCAAGAGGTTGGCCAAGTTTCCATTTGCCTTCAGCGAGCCTCTGGAGGGTTTCAGATCACAAAGCTGAATGGTTTTGAGACGTTTGCAAGATTCAGCAGCTCTATTGCGCCTCTGGGGGATCTAGATCAGGATGGCTTCAACGGTAGGATGTGATTTGTTGATCAGTAGGTTCTGTTCGTAGCGGAAATCTAGACAGGACCCAGGATGTGGAATCTGCACAGACACGTTAGGCGTTCTAGCCATGGCTGAATGTTGGACACTGAGGTCTAGACTCCTTTCGATGCTTGTATGCTACTCCCAAGGCTGCTAACAGGAGTTCCATGTAGGCATCGAGCAGAGACTATACCATTTAAACTACAGCATGGATTATTCTAGCTGTTACACTGGTCAGTTTATTACTTTTCTAAGTGATAAGTCTTCTAGAAACTTCACTGAAGTATCTGACTCTCCACTGTGACTTGCTAGGACATCTTCAATCTAATTTTCGGGCTTCCCTTCCTTAAAGCCAATTTTCCTCTCCAGAAACACAGTGATGACTGAAAAGAAGATTTTTCTTTCAGACAGCTGGTTAAAAATGTTCTGATAGCAGACATTTTCCTGAGAAAACTCTAGATTTTTTTTTTTTCCCTGAAATGGAGGAGCCCAGTGAAAATATCCCGTAACAGCTATAGCCAAGTGTACTGAGAGCTGAGTGTTTGGTTGAGAAGTCTGAGTCTGATACAGCTGAAGCGGTGGAGTCAAACCCATTGCCAGTTCTTGTTGTTACTTTTGCTTGGGAATGGAAAGCACTAAACCAGACAAGAATGTCGTAGTTAGGGGATGGAGACTTCCAGGAGTCTTGGGAAGAACACTTTCATTTTGCGAGGCATACTCCAGTGTTTCCCAGAGTGGCAGGAGCTCAAGTTCTGCAAGAAAATGCTCATTTTTTTGTGTGGTTTTTTTTCCCTCTATTCTGCTTGCAACCTAAGTATTTTTTGAAAGATGAAAAATTATAGGACACTGGTATTTCAAATTCCCAGGCAGCTCTAACTTATTTTTTAAATGAAAAAACTGTAGAATCTACAGAAAACTGTAGAATCTTAGAATAACTTGGGTTGGCAGGGACGTTCTTAGTTGCTAATATTACACAGAATTAGCGTGAAGATGCAATATCACTGCAGCTCTTGACAGAAGACATTGATTGGAGAGGTTACAGCTGATAGCCAAAAATCCTGTCACTTTGGATAATCCATGAGATTATCCAAAAAATGTTTTGATTCCATGGTACTTCAATCTGACACACGCTGTAGGTGAGAAAATCTACAATAGCAAAAGCTGACTCTCTTTAATACTTAGCGATTATTTAATCTGGTTTTTTTTTCAGCCTATCCTCTGTTTCATTTTGGGAGTGTTACTTAAAATGTTTTCCATCACAGTATGGTGTAAGAGTAGACTTTCCACTGTTTTCATGAAGTTTGTAAAGATAAATCAAAAATACCAGTTGCTAAACTTTTGAGTCCTTGCTCTTTACATTAAACTTTCTCAAATTTAAAGAAAGAGGAGGGAATTATATAATTATTCTATATAGCGCTTGGTCTTTGAACTGACTGTGGAAATGTTGACTGTAGATTATATGTACACTTCTAAAGCTGTCCTTACAGATGGTCCATTCAGCATTTTGTTTATTACTATTTATTAGTCAATGAGTGCTCTCAGATTTTTTAAGCTTTAAGAAATAGTATGATTGCTCTAACTTGAGGTTCTCCATAAAACACACTGCCAAGCCATGATCCGGATGCACTGGAATTTGAGATTTACCATGGTTTTAGGTTGATTTAAGTTTTATTAAAATGTCACACCCTTTGGAGGAACATGAATGTGTTACCGAAGTGGGCAGATCATCTCCTTTAGTGTTGTGGTTTGGTGCCAACAGTGACTAATTCTGGATGTTTAATACCCTCAAAAGCATCTCAGATCTGTATGATTTGGCTGTAAGTCAGTTACTGAGTGCAGAAGTGTTTGCAGGACTATTCCTTCCCCTTCTACCCCCTGTCACGTGTCCTTGTTAAAGATTTATAACTTCTAGCAGCCAATTACAAAAAAAAAAAAGGTTGTCGAGGTACATTTTAAAAAGTTGTTACATTTCCTCCATACTGACACACGTTGAAACTGTAATATCTGAAATTTTTGGATCGACGTAAGTACAGATACGCTTTCCCAGCCTCTGTCTGGAGACGTTGACGATTGCTCTTTTGGTTTACAGATATTGCGGTTGCTGCCCCATACGGTGGAGAGAACAAGAGAGGACTTGTCTATATCTACAATGGAAGAGCCAATGGTTTGAATGCGGTCCCATCCCAAATTCTCGAAGGGCAGTGGGCTTCTCGCACTATGCCGCCCAGTTTTGGGTACTCGCTGAAAGGAGCCACGGATGTGGACAAAAATGGATATCCAGGTCCTTTGCTCTAAACGTCACTTTAGAATAACTTCACAGTAGCCTCGCCTCTGACTAACAGTGTATCAATGGAAGAGCCAATGGTTTGAATGCGGTCCCATCCCAAATTCTCGAAGGGCAGTGGGCTTCTCGCACTATGCCGCCCAGTTTTGGGTACTCGCTGAAAGGAGCCACGGATGTGGACAAAAATGGATATCCAGGTCCTTTGCTCTAAACGTCACTTTAGAATAACTTCACAGTAGCCTCGCCTCTGACTAACAGTGTATTTTGAAAAATTGTCACTACTTTAACAGTAGCCTCGCCTCTGACTAACAGTGTATTTTGAAAAATAAATGTGTAATATTTCTCCTTTCTCCCTAGACCTGATTGTTGGAGCCTTTGGTGCGGACACAGCTGTTTTGTATAGGTACGTATCCCTCTGTGCTTCTGGGCGAGCGCGAGCAGAATGAAAGCTCAGTGGCCTTCCTGAGTTACAAAACAAAGTAGGATCAGGGAAGTCTGCCACTCCACCTTCTAAATTAATGGAGGCAAAAAAGGTCATACTGCTGTTTTCACTGAGTAAATGCTATCTATTATTCTGCTATCTATTATTCTTCATTCTCAGTAATCTGTGACTAAGAGAAAATTTAAATAAGCTGTCTTCAAGGCTTTCTGAGTGCCATTTTTCTAGATTTCTGACCCCTACAGCGTGCTGCTAGCTATTACACTGCAATCCTGATATATTCTTACCTGAACTTGCTCATTTGGGAAAAATAAGTTATGTGTCTGTGCTAGGAAAAGATAGGACTTCCCCTGAACACAGTTGCCCAGGTTCTGACCGATGGCAATGAAAGGGCACAGAAAAGCTCCCTGCTTTTCCCTGATCTACTCAATGATTATTTCTTACTCCTGCAGTGTCACTAAATATTGTCTGTGAGTGTAGGTGTGTGTTTCACAATTGCACGGAAAGGGTATTGTCTAACGTGGGGGTGAATGGTGTTCAAGAGGATGTTTTCTCTGCAGGGCCAGACCAGTCATTAGAGTAAATGCTGCACTGGAAGTTAATCCAACCATTCTAAACCCAGAAAACAAAGCCTGTTCACTCTCAGATGTAAAAGTTTCTTGGTAAGCGGGGTATCTTTGTTTTCCTCCGAGGGGAGGGACTTTTTGGGGTTTTCTTTTCATAAGCTTTCTGTTTGGAAAGGATTCAGGAAGTCGTCAGCTAATTAAAAGTAGGCAATCAAACACTGATTTTTCTGAAAGAACAGACAATACAAAATAACTCTTCGACAACAGCGGGAGGGCGAACGTCGTCTTTAATAGATGCTGGGCTGGCTCCTAAGTTACATCCTACTCGCAGGGGTTGCCGCTTGTCTCTTTTGAGTAAGATCTGTGGGTGGTAACGCATCACACAGCTTTTGCACTGTTTGTAGCCATTAACTTACTTTTTAGGTAGGCTTCTGGAGAACACTTGGGAAATGATCTGCTCTGCAGACTCATGGGGATTCTTGTTCCTGTGTTGTTCCTGGACTATTATCTAAACCCACTTTTCATTTCCTTTTCAACTCAGGATGCCAGTTCCTGCTAGCTTTAAAGATAAATGAGCCCCATTTGATTTTGGGAATAAACCCTGTTTCATAGGTGACTGTTCCTACGCGAATCAAGACTCCAGACCTTTCCATCGCTACTTATTAGCAGGTTATAGGTTCTCTCCCTTCCAGTAGTAAATAGCTTTTGGGAGCTAGAGGCTCAAAAGAGAATACCTTTGAACTGAGACAAACAGTAAAGAATTTTAGCAGAAAAGAAGAGAGAAAATATGCGTGAAATTAATATTTTCTTTTCCTCCAAAACAGCTTCAAGGTAAAGTTCTGCTTAAAAGCCGATGGCAAAGGAGAGCTCCCTAATTCACTCAGTAAGTTCTGCTAGGTTAAAATCTTTAAAGTCTTTTTACGTTGTTTGCAGACACGGGCACCGGTCATTGTTCTTTTTCATTACTGAAACAGTCATGTACCCTTTACAGCACAATCCTGCCAGTTCAGTGACCGTACACATTTATGTGACTGTCTTCAGTTTCCTTACTGAAGTTGTGTGGAAGTCAGTGGGGTTTGAGCATATTTGGGACGTTCAGGATATGTTTAACCACTTGGTGGAACTCGTCTTGGAACGTCCCCTGTGTTTTATAGAATTGAAATCAACTCCTGTTAAGGTTGTGGACAAGAGTATTCAAGGATGTGCATTGTTGCACATGGAAGATAAAGACAAACCACAAGGGACTTGTGACATTTTTATTGAAATCATGACCCTTGGATTGATGCTACTGTTTTTTTCATTGCATTCTCTGTATCAGAATCAGGAAAAGATTGTTTCAGGCGGGTTTTTAGTTGTCTTAAGAGATTTTGTAGTGTGACAGACAGCCTGCTACAATCAGGTTTTGTATACTGGTTATAATAGCTTTTTCTTATTATCTGTATGGGATGTACAGGTGGTATCATTTGGGAAGACTCATATAAATAGCTGTTACACTTTTAAAAATTTCATTATCTATACCAAATATTTGAAGTAATTAGATTAGTGATATAGTTAACTAATGTGTTACAAGCAAGATTGCTTTGGAATTTTCGCGGGAAAGGTTTTTAACTTTTGTTTTTGCTATTCTGTAGCAATTATGAATTAATCTGTGCTTTTATGTGTTTCCAGGTCTTAAGGAAAAAGCAGAATCCAATTTAGGGCAACAACAGTGCTAGTTAGTTACTATTTTGAGAACTAATGTCCTAACAGATCTTATATTGAAAGAACTGGAAGTTTTAAGAGTTCTGAGTACTTTTCATTGTAGCTGAAATTGGTGTTCAGCTCTATTCCCGGTGAGAATTTGCGCTGTGTTTAATTGGATGACACATTTCTAACCTAAATGCTTTGGATTGGGCAGATTTCCAAGTGGAGCTGCTGTTGGATAAACTCAAGCAAAAAGGAGCCATAAGGAGAGCTCTCTTCCTCCACAGCAGACAGCCCAGCCACTCTAAGAACATGACTATTACCAAGGGGGGGAAAATGAACTGTGAAGAACTTGATGCCTTTTTGAGGGTAAGCAGCCATTTATGTTTCAGGCAACTTATTTTTGGCACATTGTCTATTACAAGTTCCTTGTGTCAGTTTGTTTGTTTGTTTATTTTTCTGTTCTGTTTTATTTGTCCTTTTTTTTTGGCTTTTTAAAGAAAAATAGAATAAAGGAGTACTAGAGGAACTTCATGCCCGGTGGATAGACCTAAAATTACTGAAACCGTATGTCTGTCCTGGGTTATTGTTGCTGTCAGAGGATGAACGATGGATATTATGGTGACTAAGGTCCTGGTCACTAAATGGATTGGAAATTAATTTCTGAGCTTTTTTACCGACTTCTTGGGCAAGTCATCTAGGCATAAAATTAGTTATAATTTCCAAGGAACGTGAAAGTCAATAAGCAGAGGTTGTGCCTCTACTTTGGGGGTAAAAGAATAAAGAAAAAATACACTTCTACCACTAGAAAGCAACCAGCAAATAACAGAGGAGGCAGAGAAGGTTGAAATACCAAGTTTGCTTTTTCTGAGTGTTTTTGGTTCAGTCCCCACGAATGTGAACAGATGCTGACACAATTCAAGTGTAGCCCAGTAGAAGAAAGTTTGGCTGAAAGACGTGTGAAGTGTCGCTGTGTAAGTTAGATGCAGCTGAGATTTATCTTGAGTACTTGCAAATGAAACATAAACAATACTTACTGCCCTCTCCAAAAAAATACCCCAATAAAAATGGTAGGAACCATTAAGGATTCAGGGAGCACCGGCAACGTCTTTGTTTGGCTGGCCTTGTGTATGGCAATAGACATCCCAGGCTGTAGTGTTAGTCAAGCACTAACAGTCTTCTACCCAACATTCCCCTAAAGAGAGTAATGACACGTGATCTACGTGAAGTCACCTGAAATTGGATGCAAAACCAACTGGAAAATATAAATTGTCAGTAGGTTTCTGCCCACAGAGGATAGCTTTTGAAATAAGATCCTGCAATGAGCTGTTCTAGATTCAGGAGCTTTTATTCTCATTTATTTTCATTTCTGAGAATCGCCATCCCTGGATGTGTTCAAGTGTCGCTTAGATGTGGTGTTGGGTGATGTGGTTTAGGGGTGAACTTGTAGTGTAGGGTTAATGGTTGGACTCGATGATCCCAAGGGTCTTTTCCAACCTGAACTGTTCTGTGATTCTGTGAATAAAGAATCAGAGTTTACAGCTGTAAGATCTAGCTAAGAGATAGTTTGTACGTACACTGAAAGGCAGGATCGATGTTTGATAAACAGAATGATTTGAAGTGAAAAATATGAAAGCCAGTAACTCCAAGTGCCAAGTAATAATTTTGGGAAGGAAAAATCCCCAGTCTGAGGATGAGCAGATCTTAGAAGCGTGCTGAGTTTTGTCTGACAGGAAAGATTGGAATTGTTCATAGCCCTTTTTAGGCTCCTTGCTGTTGTTCTGTGACTTAATGCTTCTGTTTTCCATTTTCCATGTGCTCCAGTTTTCCGTTTGTAAAACAGGCACGTTACACTAAAATTGCTCATCTTCACAGTGTACGCTGCAGGTTTTCTGATGAGATCTTCTAGTTTGAAAAGAGCTCAGAATTTTAATACTGTTTTGGCTTCCTCATTCCTGGTACCACATGAACAATAAATAAAACTACTGCTCAGTATTGCTGTTGGTATGACTGTTGCCTGTTGAATCCTTTTGAAGGATTTTTTGGGTTTTGTTTTCTTCACATGTTTTAATTGTAATGCAAATCTTTGGTTTCCTCAGGATGAATCTGAATTTAGAGATAAACTAACCCCCATTACTATTTTTATGGAATACCGTCTGGACTACAGAACAGCTGCAGATGCAACCGGATTGCACCCGATCCTCAACCAGTTCACTCCTGCTAATATGAGCAGACAGGTATAGCTCTTACACAGTCTGTGATGAGAGAACCCAGAACAGACTTGGAGCTTTCAGTACTGGTTCAATACTTATGTTCATCTTGGAACTTCTGAAAAATACCAAAATAGATATCTAGGCTTTAGTCTTTGCATTATGGAAATATCGATGGGTATTGTGTGTTTGTCTTCTCTCGTCTTCCTTCTTTCTGTGTCAAATTTCTGTTCTGTCACATTATTCCTTAGTGCTGGACTTGCTTTTCACATGTGTTCAGTAACAGTTTTCTGGAGAAGTTAGTGTTGTGGAGGTGTTAATCTCGAAGGACTGCAGTGTTTCATTCCTTGCTCATGCAATGCTGCTCTATGGATACGATGTTTATCGCTAGTTCCCTTCTGGTAATAAACATAGTTTTTCTGTTTCTGCCCTTTATTAAATTCCTTACATTTGTAAAGAGAATAGTGGAAATACAACTCAAAATGAGCAGTATTTCAGTTGTATAACAGATTATTCAAAGTATGGCAAGAGGATTACGATACGTAGAGATCAGTCCTAAAGTTGCAGTGTGGCAGGATGAAGCACAGTGTCCTCTGCATAAAAAACCTCATTTGTTCTTTTCTGGAACTAATGGGATGAAGAGATTTCATCACTAGCTATTTAGAAAATGTTTTATTTGGGGGTCAAACAGTACTATTGGAAACGTGTGTTGGAACAGAAGCCAGAATTCTTACAACAATATGCATTTGATTTTTGCATAGGCACATATTCTGCTGGATTGTGGTGAGGACAATATCTGCAAACCAAGGCTGGAGGTTTCAGTGCAAAGGTAAATACATGGAAAAATACTACAGGAAAAGTGTAACCTCCCTACTTGAATTCTAAACTTCCAAAGCTTCTAATACTTTCGTTAAAAGGATGTATTGAAATAAGTGGGACTTCTCAGTGTATACGATCTAAACCCCTGCTAATTTGTTTTAAGGAAAACCTATTTTCTGCTTTGTAGCCTAATGTCTTTAGTATATAATACAGGGAGAGCGTGTGAACCCCCCTCCCAGCCCCCACTCTAAGTACGTGGTATTTATTTGTGTATTTGCTGAGCTGGACGTGCAGATATAAGCACAGCACAGAGTTAGCTGCGATTGTGCCACTGGTCCATTATTTAATACTAGAGAGTCACGTGAAGATGGGAACAGGCAGGATTTTATCCCACAAGGGGTTTGATGTCACACGTATGGAAAAAAAAAGGTTAGTATTTTATTAAACCTGGAAAAAAGAAACAAGTTTTAATTCATTCTTTCATGAGCCTGGGCTTTTTGTGCTTTGCATGCCCGAAAGCCATTCTTAGTGTATTATCCTTACTTGCAAATGTCATGTTTTTATGCCCTTGGTGCAGATCTGTAGCTTGTGCACGTGTAGGAGGGTAGGACAGTTCACAAACATACTAATTCATGTAAAGGCTTCAGAAACGTCTTACGTCAGTGCAGGCACAGTTAGGTTTCCTTGTAGCTGGTGAAATGAAAGTGGATTGTTTGGAAAGACGTTATTTTTTGCAGCAGGAACAAATATATTACAGAGACCTTGTCTTTATTCTGCAGTTGAGGCTTCCATCAAGTTTTGTTATAAAAGTATGCTCGTGCCTTTGCTGAGCAGGCGTGTAATTCAAAATGCGCACAGTGATGTAGCCGTTTATAGTGGTGTGCGTGTGTTTAAAAAAAGGTGTCGGTATTTTTTTGTGAACTTTGTAAAACATTTCTTACGAATCAGCGTGTAATATTTGCTCCATTTTTGTGATTACAGGCACATTTTTGTTTTAAACATAGTGTAGAGCTCTCTTGATATTTCTGAAGCATAGATACGGCCTCTAGATTTCTGTGATGCCTCTGTACAGTTTCAGAATGTCTTTTTCTGGAAGTTCAACTAGTTCAATACGCTTGAAAACCTGACTTTCGAGCTCATTTTTACATTTGTCTTTTGTAGTGATCAGAAGCAGATCTACATTGGTGATGACAATCCCTTGACGCTCATTGTCAGTGCTGAGAATCAAGGGGAAGGAGCCTACGAAGCAGAACTCTTTGTAATTGTTCCACCCCAAGCGGATTTCATCGGTGTTGTTCGTAACAACGAGGTAAAATCCCAACTATCTTTCTCTGAGTAGTCGTATTTCCGGTGCTGCTACGCAAGTCTGTGAGAGACGGTCTGTCAGTGGTGGTTCTTATGCTTCGGGCTCAAAGCACCGAAGAAATTATAAGATTCTTCCAAGCCCCAAGATTTTAATAACACCTGGCTGGATGGTTCCAGCTTAAGAATCTACTGCTAGCAAGAGAGGAGAATCACCTGTGTGATAGAGCTTGACACACACAGAGTTTATCGGCTAAAAGTCTTTATTCGAACAGTGCCCTTGCTAATCTATTTAAATATAGACTTAGCTTGTCAGGTAAAGAGCTGCACACCTGTGAGGCAAAAAGTGATGTTGGATGTTAGAATTCTCTTCCGCCTAAGTATGTAGAAAGTCTCAGGTGTCAGTTATCCTGACTAGAGAGAATATTAAAATTTATTTGCTGGCTTTTTCCTGTATTACAAAATGTCTGCAGAACTTGTATTTCTTTGAAGATATATGAGTATAGTCCAAATTTTGGGTCGGCCCATTATAGCTCTATGTAAGTAATGTACTTCAGATTTTCTTCATCCTTTTTTTTTATTTGGCATATTTTATGAACAATCAACACATCTGTAAAGTTGCCCCTGTATCAGAGGGTTCCAACTTCAATACCTCGTCCTTCATATACGTTGGACCATGTCCTGGTTTGGTTCTCCAGTTTGCCTCTGCTGCTCTAGAGTTTCTAATATGGCTTTATCCAAAAGCCAGTAGCTGCTCTTAAGACCTCTTCCCGCTCGGTCCCCATGTGTTGCCTGGTCTAGTCGAGAGGTGACATCCCTGCCCATGACAGGGAGGTTGGACTCGATGATCTCTAAGGTCCCTTCCAGCCTAGGCCAGTCTGTGATTCTATGATTCCTGGGTAAGCTGGGGAATATTCATGTTACTTTGCCTTCCAATCTTTGGAAAGTCTGCTCAATTGCAAAGTTTCTTCACATAGGTTTTAAAGAATCACATGAAGAAACACTGTAAGTCACAAAAATCATCAGTGCTACCTCATGGGACAGTACTGAATTTCTCTTTTTGTAACCTTGGAGAGAGCATCTGTCTCAAATCAAAAATATTTGTCTCCACGGAGACTTTCCTACTCAGATTTTATTTCATTTTAGGGCTTGAATGTGTCAGGACTGAGAAATGATACTAAAATTAATGCAGCACGTCTAGAACTTTGTCCAGACTTTCATCCAGGTGACCAGATGCACGGAATGACTGTGTCTTAGTATTTCTTTCTGGTTTATTGCAGGCTTTAGCAAGACTGTCCTGTGCATTTAAAACGGAGAATCAAACCCGCATGGTAGTTTGTGACCTGGGAAATCCCATGAAAGCAGGAACTAAGGTAAGATTGTGTCTGACAAACAGGAGTGCCGTTGGCATTTTACTTTATCAGAGCAGTGTTTGGGTGGGATGTTTACTCACAGGAATTGGAGGTTAGATCCAGCTGCCTTTTAGCTGCCCCTGTGTTTAGTTCTGTGGTAACTGGTTTCAACTTTTCAGCTAAATTAAAGGCTGAAAGGCGTGTTCGTGAGTGTTATGATGCAACTGAAAAGTAGTAGTTCGTTAAACTGTGGAATGAATGAACTTGGTTCCTCATCAGTTTGTTTTTAGATTTATCCAGTACATGTTTATTAGTGTATAATAAAGAGCGAGCTTGTAACACACCTTTCAGTGGAAAGCTAATAGTGCTTCTCTCTTCTGCCTACTTATGTGAAGTTTGAGGGAGTTTTGTTGAGTTGAGACCTCTGTGCTTCTGCCAAATATAGCTGAAGTTGGAAGAATTAAAAAGCTGTTAGTGGCACCCGGTGGATATTAAGACAATATGACTTTTTAAGTCTCATTTTCTGAGGAAATGAAGTGAAAATCAGTCACAGTTCCAAACACTTGGGTGCCTCGCTTCCGAGAGGCATTTTGTATAGGTAAATAAATGCTGTTTCCGAAGTCTTTCGAATTGTATCAAGCTGAACTGTAGAGAGGTTGAAGCAACTATCATGCGCTGGCTTAGAACAAACCTTGGCAACTGAATTTAGAATCATTAAAGTGTGCCTGGTTCTTTAGACTCGCAACATTTTTGCGTGCATTTGCCAGTTCTCTCTGTGTATTCTCTTAAGACCACAAGCCTGAAGCAATTTCCCTGTAGTATAAGAGTATTAAGAAGCTTTTATCGTGCATTTTACTGTGTTTCCACTGACCCGCGGTGCTTTTTTTCCACAAGCTGTTAGCTGGCCTGCGTTTCAGTGTGCACCAGCAGTCTGAAATGGATACCTCTGTGAAGTTTGACTTGCAAATCCGAAGGTATGGAAATCTGAGTAGGTACCTCGCCTGCTAAAAAACATGCAAAGTTAAGGAGTTATTTTTACTCTCGTCTGGTTATTGCCTCGTAATAGCTTAAAAAATAAATCTTTTGAATCAATTCCGTTTTATAAACAAGAAAAAGTGTAAGAAAACAGAGTTTTCTGTTTCAATGCGATTTCTTTGCTTACAGCTTTTAGATGAGTCATGGCACAAGTGACATCTGAACAATGAGGAGCAAAACCTTTGGAAGCGTTTCAGGAAAAACTGTATTTTTGTACGGTTGTGATGGCCTGTCACTTGTGTAGTGCCACAGAATGCCTTGTCCCTTTGGGTTTCTAGCACTGTTTTAAAACTGAGGTTTGAACTCTGAATTCCTTCCGATATAAAGCTGGAATTCCAAATTTTATGTACTGGAATTTAAAATTTCATGTGTTTTGAGGATGAGAGGTATAAATCTGCCAGAGAAGGCAATGCATGTGATGGTTTGAACAGAAGCAACAAGACATGAGCAATTTGAAGGGTTTTACAGTAGACAGCATAAGAGAGTTTGACAAATTAAATGGAACAAAGGAGTAGCCTCCCTGCTAAGTACAAGAGGACAACAGCGCTTTCGTGTACATGTGATATATAAATGTGAATTTGTACCTCCTGGAGATGATATTTAAGATGGAGAGATGTGATCAACAGAAATTTTCACTAATACAGTTTTGTGTTGTTAAATGGACAGTACAAACAGAGCTGCTTTTTCTTCCCCATGGTGGACCAAAAACTTTCCATTTAAGAGCTGGGTTTTTTAATGTAGTGACTAAATCATTTTTATCCACGTATGCATTTTTAATCTACACGAGTTAAATAACTTTGAAGCTGCCGTTCCGTTTGAACGACAGAGAGGTTTGCCGTGCTGATCAGAGGCCTTGGCAGCAGGAAATCTCTCTGTCTGAAGACACATCACTGCCCAGTCTGCTCGCCCTCTCCTCCGTCAGCGAGTAGCTGTGACTAGTCCCGCTTTGCCGAAGGGGGTCTGCTCTGGAGCGTCTTTTGCCACCTTTAGGCTAACGGCAGTCCCTAACTGCCTTCTCCTGGAACAAAAACCAGTCAGTGACGGAAGAGTGGGGAAGTTCCTGTAGCATTTTGCGCCTTTTAAGGCAGGAATTTCTCTTCCTAATGCAAGAGCAGAGATGGAATCAGATGTGGTAATCGCAGTGGTTAGGGCCAGCCGTTGTGAACATATTGCCTCAAAGAGGCTTTAAAGATCACATCCCTTGTCTTAAATTCCTTTCTGCAGCTGGCCCAATGCCTGGCAGAACAACTCGAGTCTCTGAAAGAATGAGGTGTTTGCAGGTCAGGAAGAGAACACTGTTGCATGTCTTTTTTTGATTACAGCAGAAGTGAAGAATAATTAGAGGATTTAAGGTCTTTCTAAAGGGAATTGGTTAGGTAGACAGAAGAATCGGGAGTGTCGAAGGAGATCAGGATTCTCTTCCCAGTTCCACTTAGAGGGGGAGTGTTCTCTCTACTTCTTTTTCTCTGATTACAAAGAAAGTCTGAGGAAATTTCATGTGGGAGTGACTCTTCATGCATTAATATCTGTCATCTCTTGAGAACTTGCTGGAATCTGCTCCTTAGTTTTTGGGAATTATGCTTTCCTGCAGTACCGGAGGAGTCATGTGCTAATGTTACATACAATTATTTTAAGGGTTTTTTTAAATACGTAGGTTATTTAATTTAAGAAATTAACTTTTCCTTTCTCTGCAGTTCCAACCTGTATGACAATCTAAGTCCAGTAGCGTCCTATCAGGCTGACCTTGCTATTTCAGCAGCTGTTGAAATTAGAGGGTAAGCATTGACACTATTTTAAAAGTCTTTCCCAAATGACCTTGCGTGTTTGCTTCTGTGTAGTCAATGAAGTTCACTTGAGGTCTCCCTAAGTTTTCAGGAAGCCTTAAGGAATTTTTAATCATAAAGAAAATAAGGTTCTTTCCAGCCACACTTTGGACTTTCAGATCTTAATTCTAAATAATTATGAAATCCCGTTCCTCCTCCACGAACTGACTGTGTTTTCATCCAAAAACTCCTGACACCTTTTCTATAAGGAAAGTTGAAAATCCTATTGGAGATAAGCTTGCAGTGCCCTCGCCTTCTTCAGTCTTAAGCCTAGTATTAATACGGTAATGACTGTCAGCAAAAGCACCTGAAGGGAGCAACTCCATCACCTCTGTTACTTCCATTTGCCAGAGATACATATTTCTCACCGAAAAGCTGTGCAGCTCGCTTACTTTGTCAGTTAACTCAGTTCCTGAGTCATAATACAAAAAATAGAATTCTGCTGCATTCATTATTGTGATCTAATTGTGTTCATATGTGAGAGGTGGGGGAATGGCACACCTGAGAAACATTATGGCTGGCTTCACGGCTTTCACTGCGTGCGGAATTATTCCTACGACTGTACCGCTAAGTCTCTACATACGTACTTGTCATTACTGAAGTATTTCACACGGGGCTTTTCGGATGAAATGTGTGTACCTTAATTCCGGTCATTGTTGTTCTAGATGTTGTAGGATGAATCCAAACTTTAGGACAGGAAAAATGTTTCTAAGTACGAGATTCAGCTTTTCCTGTAGGGAAGAAAACTCAGCATTCACAGACAAGCCATTCAGCCTCTGTTCTGTCTGGTTTTGTATCAAAGGATGAAAAATTGGAGAACGTACTTTAAGCGTGTTGATTTTCTGAGCTGTTCTAGGGAATTGCAGTTGTCATTTCATACTTGATAACAATGACTCGTTTGCTCTGTTGTTTAGTGTGTCATCTCCTGATCACATATTCCTTCCTATTGCAAACTGGCAGCCGAAGGAGAATCCAGAAACAGAAGATGATATTGGACCTCTGGTTCAGCATATCTATGAGGTATGCAGCTGCTTCAAAGTACAATTACACCGTTCTGTGCTAAATGAAAATAAAGATGTTTTGGTGTAGATTTTGGAAAAAATTAAAATGTTGTTCTTGCGTGCCAACAAAGATTATTATATTTTAAAATTGTGGGTCAGTAACTGGTATCTGCAAAAAGGGGTGGAATGCCTGCAATTAACATAACAGGCGTGTCCAAATAGAAAAGGCTGATTTTTTTTTTTAGACACACATATTTTATTTTCTAGCCCTTCGAAATTTAGATAAAGCATTTGAAGTAACTTGAACTCAGAAAATGACTCAGGGCTGTAAATTATTCAGTATCCTCATTTGTATTCTAGCTGTTCCAAATCGTAATTGGAAAATCTTAAGTCTTTAAAATTTCCTTAAGAGAATGATCACAGCTTGAATCTAGATTGTTTGATGAAACAAAACTTACTGAGAGCTGTGCGAATAAGAATAGTGTTTTAGAACTAAAGAGACCATTTATCTAACGAAACCTACAGGTGTATCTATCTGTGCCCAGAGTATCTTAGTTGAGTCACCTACAGTGCCTGTGATCCATGCCATAGACTGCAAAAATATTACATTTTTTTCAAGGAAAAAAAAAAATTACATTTCTTAAAGGCAAAAAACCTAATGCCATGTAGCTTTTCTTTGAAGTATTTTTAAGTTTTGCAGGGTGGTGGACGGAAGATTAGCTACCATTTCTAGGTAAATTTGTTGATGCTCTAAGCGGGTGGTGGTAAGGGTATGGCAATATCATTGGTGGCTCGAATAGAAAAGAACAGCTGTATGCACATTAACAGGGAACACAGCATTGTCTGTTTTTTTTTTTTTCCATCTGTTAACTTTATTTTTGTAATCAGCTGAGAAACAACGGGCCAAGTGCGTTCAGCAAGGTGATGATGACTCTGCAGTGGCCTTACAAGTACAAAAACTACACGCTGTTGTATATTGTTCAGTATGAAATCGATGGGCCCATGAACTGCACTTCCGATATGGAAATCAATCCGTTGAAAATCAAGGTAAGCAGGACTTTCTTCTGTTGGAGTGGTACGAAATGTGTTTATTTTGGAAACGCGCTCAAAATACCCAAATCCCCGAGAATGTCTAGTACTAAGTTAAGCTTTCACCTCTTGCTGAGGAACAAGACTGGACTGATAGCACTTGTATATAGCGTGGGAAATAAAAGGTAGAAAACAGATTTTTCAGCCCCAAAAATATATGTCTTGTTTCTTTTTGTTGATTTTTGTTTGTTTGCTTGCTTGTTTTTTGCTTTTTCCTTGAAGACGGTACTGTACGAGTTCTAAGTCCAAAGCGAGGAAGTTGTATCGAATGTGGTTTTGAACCAAAACTGTTTACTTAAATTTTCTGGGGTTTATTTCTTGGAAGAAAATGGTACCTCTTTTTCTTTTTTTCCCTATTACTGGCTTATTTGCCTAGGCTCTCATCCCAAGTGCAAGCATGCTGTTCCTGCCAGCAAAACGTGCACTTTGCAGAGCAGAAGAATCTCCCTTTTCCTAGGTTAGACTAGACAAAGATAAAACTAGACCAGATAAAAGTTTGATTGAGAGCAGAAAGCTGAATTCTAAGACAATTCAGAACAAGAAGTAAATATCAATATGTTACTTCTAGAAGAATTTAAGCAAACATATGCATAAAAAGACTAAGGAAAGATACTCAGCATATAGAATAACAAATAAGTCATGTATCTCTGATAATCAGAAAGCAACTTTAGTGAATATATAAATACAAATCTCTTGTGCTCTTACTATACCATTTGTAGAAAGATATTTTTTACAAGTGTTTTGTAAGTTTTCTCATATAACTTTGCTATGTGGAGGACAAGTAGCATGACTCTGCTTTAGTCCCCCATGTAAATTTACAGTTTTACATTGGGAATTTCTTAGAGATTACTGAAATGATTTATTAAACCTAATGTATAGCTTCTCCTAAATAAGTTTTTGCGTATGTTCAGACAGAAGTACACACATACGGTGGTATGTGGTCTATCAGTCCCATAATAATGCTATTTTTTCATAGTTACAAACTGAAATGTTGAGGAAAAATCCTTAACAAAAAGATTGCAAAATTGAACTGTATTGCAGCCTGAGTATTTTTTTTTTCTACACGTGGAAAAGTTGAGAGTTGAAGAAGAATTAAGGTACTTGAGGCTCTGTGTTAGTTCTTGGTAGAAATCTGCATCAGTGCTCTAGAAAAGACAGCAGTAACTTTGTAATTGCAGCTGGAGGTAAAGCCAGGTTCTGAAGAACAGCTAAAATAGAGGGAAACCTGATCAGGTATATATTTTCTTGACCTTAACTTTGAAGTCTGCAAATATCTAAATGTAAGAATGAATTATTATTTGCGTTTCCATGGTGTATCCTAGATTTCTGCTTCCAAAGATGACGATAAGAATGAAACGCTTAGCCGAGAAAATAATCGCGATCATCATATCAGCCGAAGGGATATAACTGCCCCGGAAGGAGACGTGCATACCTTGGTAAGCTCTCAGCATCAATATGTTGAAATTTTATTTTACTGTTTTTTAAATGAAGGTGAAGATGAAGAATCATTTCAGAAATTCCGTGTTTGTTAACAGACAAAACAAGTCACGTGCTGTGGAGCTGGTTTGGTTTGGTTCTCCAGTGTGCGTGGGACTTCCTCAGGGCAGGCAGCCAAGGAGGCGTAAAGCTCCGGGTTTGTGCCTTTAGGTTTGATGTCCGTAAAAACAAAAGGTCAAGTTGGGCACTTCCTTCAGGGTCAGTCTTCTTGTGGTGCTGTTCTCTGCATGTGAAAATCAGTACTTCACAGGAGGAAGGCTGGTAAAACAGGGTAACTGGGGGGCAGCAGGGGAGTGCTGCCGTCATCAGCTTTGCTGCAAATTAGAGCTGATGTCACCACACGTGTTTCGGGCTCATCAGGAGACGTTCTGCAATCAGACACGTGGAGGACTTGTCCTTTTTTTTAGTGGAAATAATCCGTAATATGAAGTAAATATGTTACTGTATCACTGTCTTTATAACTGCACTTCCAGGCACGAGCCTTCCCCTGCGCTGGGCAGTGCAGGACAGGCAAACAGATGAGAGCAGTGCTTGGGAGGTTTTTAGGGTGGGAACACTGGGATGAGGGCAGTACAACCCCAATTCCTGAAATGTTTAGGCTCTGGTGAGGAGAAAGAAAGGGCTGAGCAAAGATAGTGAAAATATGAATGAATTTCTTATTTTATGGTGAGAAAAGCTGCTTTATTATTTTAGATATAAGCTACAAATAATCTTCAGTTTTGCCTGATCTTCTCAATGACTTGGCAGGATTTCACCCCGAGACTAATGTTCAGCATTCATAATAATTTTATTCAGCATTCATAATAATTTTACCTACACTAGACGGTGCTTCTATCTATAGTAGGGCTAAAATCGCAATTAGAAAATGAATCCTTGTTTTGCTCTGCTTTCGTCTTGAAATACTGATGGTTTAGCATCCATGTAGTCTGACTGATTTTAATGGAAACACGGCTGACAAAGGGCAGGTGAAGTCCTGTAGTCCTAAGTGTGGCTTATAGATTAGATCAGTCAAGTCTGAAGATTGTAACAAAGTGCATTTTGTTGGCACTGAGTGCAGTTCGTAGAATCCTAAAATATTTTAGGTTGGAAGGGACCTCAGAGATGTCCTAACCCGACCCCCTGCCGTGGGCAGGGACGCCCTTACCCAGCCCAGGTTGCTCAAGATCTCATCCCACCTGGCCTTGAACACCTCCAGGGAGGGGGCAGCCACAGCCTCTCTGGGCAATTTATTCCCAAGTCTTGCCACGCTTGCACTGAGGAATTCTTTCCTAAGATCCAATCTAAATCTGTTCTCCTTTAACTTAAATCCATTTCCCTTGTCCTATTGCTGGACACTCTCGCAAAAAGTCCCTCCCCAGCCTCCCTGTAGGTCCCTTCAGTCACTGCGGGCAGGGATAAGGTCCCCCTGGAGTCTTCTCTTATATATGTAATATGTAGATTAAACTTATCTTGGAGCTATTGCCAGCTTTTTCACCTTTAGGATCTGAGTAGCTGATATAATATTTTTTTACGTGTAAACTTATGGGACACTGTAAGTAATTATTCAGTATTGGGGGTTATTTAAGGTATTTCAGTAGTTTATGCTGTTTTATTGGAAAAAAGAGGACAATAAAATAGAATCATAGAACGACCTAAGCTGGAAGGGACCTTAGAGATCATTTTAATCCAGCCTCCCTGCCGCCAGGGACGCCACCTCTCGACTAGATCAGGCAACACATGGGGACCGAACGGGAATCGAACCCGCGACCTTGGCGTTGTTAGTGCCACGCTCAACTGACTGAGCTAACCGGCCCCCTAAAATATCTATATGGATCAAGTAATGTCATTAAAGAATTTAAAAATATTTTCGTTTTTTAGAATATCCTTTCTATTTTTCTATGCAGGGCTGTGGAACTGCTGATTGTTTAAAGATAGTCTGTCAAGTTGGCCACCTGGAAAGGGGAAAGAGTGCAATATTGTATTTAAAATCACGCCTTTGGACCCAAACGTTCATGAACGTGAGTGACTGGATATTCTTTCCCTGCTTCTGAAACATAAAAAGTTATTTTTGTATCCACATGCAATACTAAGTTTGCTTTTTCTTACACAGAAAGAAAATCAGAATCACTCGTATTCTCTCAAATCATCTGCTTCTTTCAATGTTATAGAGTTCCCCTATAAGAACCTGTCCTTTGAAGATATCCACAACTCTACAGTAGTAAGTCACTTACATCCAGCTTGAGTTACCGTACATAAGTACTTCAGGGCTAATACAAACCCCATGATTGTTGAATGGCTTTTTTGTGCCTTGGTGTAAGTGTAGTTTTATCAAATACTTGACGCATATGTTAATTTCAATTATACACATACAGCTGAGGGTAAAACAAAAATTTTTTTCCTAAAACTAGAGTTAAAAATATTTGTAGCTTTGAAGACGTAACTGAAAGTGAAAAAAGTGCTGCTGAACAGTTGTGATGTTCTCGTTATTGCCATTAGAGAAATATTTACATGAAAATTGTCTTCTACTGGATTAACACTTAGAACTTGAATGAAGGACTTTATTATATCAAGTCCTATGTGAATGTGGAACAGAAAGACCATCTGTGCTCTAGAGAGTTTTAGAGAGAAAGGAGACAGGGTGCAAACAGTAAGGAAGATACAGGACATTCTTTGGGCTGCCAAATTAAAAGTTTTTGATAGGCACTATAGAATAAAAGAACTTAAGAAAGAGGTTGAAAAGGACTGTGACTGATACATTTTTGAATATGGTTTCTAATGCCTATTGTTAACTGTGTTTTCTCTCCTGAGCCTTGTGGAGTTGATTTTTGTTTCAAGGAATACTGCCTTTTAAGGAAAAAAAAAAAAGGAAGAGCCCTAAATTATTTCTCTCTAATACCCCAAATTTCCATTCCCTTACAGTTTTAGTAAAAATCATCAAGCATTACAGAATACATTTTGCAAAAATCCAAACCAAAAGAAAGAAAAATACCAGCCCTCCTTGTTTTTTATGAAATTGGGGTCAGTGAAGCCTTTAGGTCTCTATTCATCTGCAGCTGTTCACTCACATTGGGCAGAAAAAATAATTTATGCTGGATTAAGATTATTGTAACCACTATGGAATGTGGCTGTATAAGACAAACTGGCTGGTGGCTGCTGTGGCGAGTGTGATTTGTTGTGTTTCTCTCTCAGGTGACTACAAACATTACGTGGGGTATTCAGCCCCAGCCCATGCCTGTGCCCGTGTGGGTTATAATTCTGGCTGTCCTGGCGGGATTGTTGCTCTTGGCTGTTCTAGTTTTTGTTATGTACAGGGTAAGTACTGCATCTGGGGGTTTTTGCATGGTTTTCTTTTCCCTACTAGTGATGTGTTCCTTGAAATAGTACTAGCGGCTTGCAGGAATACCTTGGTCTTCTAATCATCCGAATGAGTTAAGTTTCAGCTTTGTCAGGAAGAAGTTGAATAAAAGAGGATGTTTGTGACTGTATCAAATTACTCAGTTTAATTTTTCAGCGGATATTTATTGGATTTGGAGGTGAAAGATAAGAAAGAAGGGAGTAGGAGGTGAAAAAATGAAATAATCAGTTAAGATGTGATCCAGAAGGAAAGGGAAAGGATGTGTGTAGGTGTTGAAAATGACAATGCAATTTCTTCCTTGTTCTCTGAATCCCAGATGGGCTTTTTCAAACGTGTGAGACCACCTCAGGAAGAACAAGAAAGAGAACAACTGCAACCACATGAGAATGGGGAAGGAACATCAGAAGCTTAAGCAGAGTTTTATCTGTAAGACATTCTGAAATTTTTAAATGCCTGTGTCTTGGTTACGAATATTGGTTTCCCCCTTAAGGAAAAAACACTCATGACTGCACAGCTGCTGGCTCAACCTATCAGCACATACAAAATAAGAACAATTATATTTAAATCCTCCTTTTTGTATTAATTACGTTCATACGTGTGACTAATGCATCTGCACTGATCTATGTGTGAAAAAAATTAAGTAATACGTAGTGCTACGATTTTGCTTATTGGGATGTAGGAGACAGCATCTTTTTTGATTCGCGGACCAACTTTACATGAATTGCTACACAGATTCTGCGTTTGCTCTTGAAGCCAACAGCTTCCATAGATACTTGTCGGATTACACGTTCAGTTTCGATTGAGTTTTGTTGGAGTACACTACACTTCCTAGCTCTGGAAAACTCGTTGCACGAAAAAAGGAATATAGCTTGTTTTACTGAAGAGTATCCTCGGACCCGTTAACTATGCTGAGGATTTTCCTTCCGCTCAGTAAATATGAACGAGATGATGAAGTGGCGTCATTCACCTCCGAAACCTGTTCCTCTTCCTGCTCGGTCATCTGTCTTGTGGCTTCCCTCTAGGCCTCACAACTGTTGTCCTAGGTCTTTTACAGAAACAGAAGTGAGTGGCAGAAAGCTGCCGCTGATGTAATTTTTACAGGATCTATTGGAAAGATTCAGGGCACGATCCAAAGCTTCTGTTGTGTATTTCTACGCAGCAGGACCCAGGTTTTGCAGGGAATTCTTGGCAGCATGGATGCACTCAGCTGTGGCCAGGGAGATGTTGGCCTGTGGCTGCCAACAGGCTTGTCTGCTGAGAAGACCCATAGCCTTTATGTTCACGAGGCAAACCTCCCCAGGGTTTGGAGCGAAGTCTGTACATGACTTGGGTTGAATTTCAGTTTCTGGCAAACCAATGAGGGGAGTACTTTGTGACAGGTCACCTGATGTGAGGAAGCTGTTGTTAATTCCCACGTTCTGCGTCCAAGCGCAGGATGGAGTGATCCAGGGGCTCTTTAGAATCTCTGCCAGCCACAGGAATGTCGATGACGGCAGTACCGTAACCACGCTCATGCCTGCCTTGCCACCTGCCCCGAGGTAACAGCGAGCTTGTCAAACAAAGCAGAGTAGAGCTGGCAGAAAGGTTTCGAGAAGAGAAAGTTGATTTGGCTTGTTTAATTTCATTCATTCATTCATTCACTGTACATTTCATTGCAAAAAGGACATTTCATCGCATGAGACATTTCATTCTGTTCAGCGCATTTCATAACTAAATGTTTCACTGTTGTTTTTTGAACGTGCGGAAAGTTCGGTGGTTGAAAGCCATGGGTTCGCATCATTGTCGGTTTATTTCCCTCAGCACTGGGGTGCTGGAATGAAACTTCTGCTTCGGAGCAAACACAAGCGCATTGCCTGTAGGCATTTCAGTAGATACGGAACTGCAGGTGAGGCTGGAACCACGTGTAGCTGTGTTGGACAAATCTTGAGAGTGGACACAGGTGCCTTGTACAAGATTTGTTTATTCTCTGTTCCAAAAAGGGAGTAAAGCACATGATGAACTCCCTGCATGCAGCCCCATACAGAAAGGAAGACTCCTACTGTAATTATACCAGTGAGGTTTCTATGTGGGCAAGTTTTTAAAAGGACAAAATCTCTGGTTTGGTTTGATTTTTGTGTCTTGGGGTTTTTGTTGAAAGCTGCATCTCCCCCATAAATACTGCAATGCCCAGTAAACCCAGAATTATCTGAAGCGAACGGTTTGGTTCAGCTCCCATTTCTGTGTTCTTGCTGAGATTTAGAATCCCCAAGTGGCTTTTGCTCTTAAATCCATTTCTACGCACTGAGCTGTGGTGGCTTTTGGGTCATTAAGAGAGCACAAAGTCTAGGGGGGCCAGTACGGACGTCGGATATAGCCTTGCGTGTTTAGCCATTTACCTGGCTTTGCTTTAGACCCGTTGTTCAGATATGCTCAGTTTATATGAGAGGGCAGAGGGCCTAATTCCGCTTTCACTGAATTTTTAAGGTCTTCGGAGTGTCCAGCGTTTTCTTTTTGTCTTCTAGTATTGTTACTGCTAATACAGTAAAGAATCGGGAGTTGATCCTGGCCCCAAAATGTGATTTTTACAAAGCGCAGTGTCAGTTACTTACACAGGCTTCTAGTTCACACACTTTGTCAACTGATTATCTGTGTTCAAGGAGATTCCTTTTACCCAGTCTTAATCCTGGTAGTTTAAGAGGTTTAAGAGACTGTCAAACAGATTATAGCTCTAATTCTTAGACGTGTGCTTTCATTACATGCACGCACCATGTTGGCTTGAAATTTATTAGACTACTTGCATGTCTAGGCATTATAAGGAGATGAAAATAAAATTTAAAAAGCGTGTTCAAGATCCCTTCAGCTCACGTGGAAGGGATACCGTAGTGGTGTTAACGTCAGCGCTAATGACATCTTAGTTTTACTGTGGCAACTGGAAACTCCTTTTGCTGATTATCAGGATAAAAAGGTACATTTTATTGGTACAACTACTGTAGCTGTGGAAAGTTACTTCCATTTCTTGAAGTTACATAAAATAAGACTTCTTTAAGTGATTTTTACTTTCTTACATTTTCCTGCAGAATAAAAGCAAATAGTTGCTTCTCCGATCTCCACTAATTTCCAGTTTGGTTAATCAAAACACCCCCGGTGGAATATGTAAATGGGGTGTACAGGTTGGTGAACATAGATGTGACACCGCAAATCCAGTTTAAGTAAAATTTGTGTTTCGGGAAGATTCTGAACAGAATATTCTCCTGAATGAGGGTACAGTACACATTTGGTTCAGCAGTAAGATTACAGACCATATACGTACTTGTGTCGGTAGAAGTTTCATACTGACTTACAGGCACTGATGTGTTCTTACAGCAAGTACTGTAGGAGGATGTTAAAACTTCTAAAGAAACATTTTAAAGTGTTTTTTGGAATGAAATTAATGCCCCTGCATCCGCATCAATGTGCGTAAGATGCATACTGCAAGCACTGAAAAAATACAGCAACAGGGGTTAGTACTCTTGAGAGTTGTGTTTCAGATGTATTTTTTATGAAGGTGAAATCAACAGCTCTGTAATTATTTAGACAATGAAAACGTTTTAAAAGAGCTATATCTTGTATAATGGCATACAAATTTCTGTAAGTGATGATCAGTATTAAAAAGTGATTTATACTACAGAATGCATTACCATATGTGACAACAGTTAGAGAATGTAAAGCAAAGAACATGATTTAGAGGTTTACATTTCTTTCAAGAAACTACCAAATTGTGGAGACAGCTTTTGTTTAAGCATGACTGCGAAGTCAAATGCGAGAAACATTTATCAAAATAAGTTGAAACCTTTCAGGCAATGTTCACTGATACCAGCATCAAGTTTATAATTTTCTTTATCCCGTTTTTCTGTTTTAAATTTTGATTTATTTGCTCATCTTTGATTCACATAATGCTTGTGGAAACTTTAGGCAAGTTTATATATATATATACACCTTTTCTTTATAAAACATTTATTCCAAATCAAATTTTTTTAGTATTTTGTTGTTTCTAAACTTGTGTCCATGCTTAAGTAATCTTCAGGGTAAACAATCACAGCTTTTTTTCTTTTTTTTAAAAAATATTTCGGCTCTAATCAGCATGTTCTTGGTGATTTGAAGGATTCATGTTGCACCTAGAGGTTTTTTTATCCCCCGCAACACTTAGGTTTGCTGTTGTTTAGCCTGGCAGAGGCCCCACGTTATTTTTACCTACGGTCTCGCAAATAGTCATGAAGCAGTCGGTGTTTGTCTTCAGTCCACCCTGAGATCTAATGAAGTCACAGAAACCTGATGCTCATTGCAGCTGGCTTTGAACGTGACCCTTTGAGTTTGATGCTGTTGGAAAAAAAACAAGGTAGGATTTTATAAAAGGAAATAATAATTAAAAAAAAGTTGCTGGCAGACCACAGATGAGCCTTCTGGCAGGAAAACGGGTTTTTTTTTTCGTCTGTCTGTTTCTGAGATGGGAAGAACCCGTAGTCCTCTGTTGGTAGTGGCCTCACGGCGCAAACAAATCCCATGGCTTGGGTCGTGGGGATGCGCTGAGCTCTGAGAACTGACCTGTGTGGGGCCTGAACTCGCTGGGACTGGATCTCTAGCTTCTCATTCCCAAGTGCAATACAACACGGCCAGATCTAGTCCACTGCCGCGTCGGCGGTTAATTTTTGAGCCCCTGAGAAGGGACGGTGAGTTTGTTGACGAGCAGCGGTCACTATTTTTAAGGACGTGAACAAAACCAGCCTGTTCAACTGAGATGACGAATGACACGGAAAGTTTTTGATCGCCCACATTGGGTGAAACGTCCCGTATTCTCTAAAGTGTCTCAATTACTAGCTTGTAGTTATCGAGAATTGGTACAATATTCTTTAAGTCTGCTGGGGAAAAATTGACTAGAGCCTGTACAGCAGCGGGTTTGAGTCTGTAGTGCTACTACTGTTTCACCTGTTTACGGTATTTAGTACTTTGGTCTATTTTTTTCCCAGTGTGTAGAATTTTGACGTAACACAGGAAATCCAACCTTTCGTGCCGTGACCTTCTCCAGCTATGCTGTATTAACAACCTTAATTAACTTGACATTTGGCCTCTGCAAAGTAAATGAAGATTTAATGTAGCAGTGGAACCTTCAACAAACTCTTACAGGTTTAGGTGGCCCTTTCTAGTCCAGAAGGGAAAACTGTATTTGCTGTGATACAAATATGTTGAAAATGTAACGTTTTATTACATCGTAACAGACTTCTTTGTTTGCCCTTTTTCTTTTCGCTCCTGCGTTAAATCAGTAGAACAGGGTTTGCACAAGCAGAAAATTAACATACTAACGAGAGTGCTGCATTTTGGGGTTCTCAGTCATGTAGTGAATACTTGTAAGATAAATGGGAATATTTTCAGTGCCTCTGAAGTCGTTTCAAAGGTCTTCGGTACATTTAAGGAGAGCAATATACATTTGAAGTCACCTTCCTTTTATTAAATTGTAAATCTTGTAAAAAAACCTGGGTATTGTGGCACAGTAATTTTGTACTGCTATCAAATATATAGCTATCAAGCTATGGTTTTATGTTCAGTTCATTCTTCTCATCCTAACTCAGATTTGATTGTTTTTTTAAGGTTGAATTTTTTATGTATGTATACAATTTCAAAATATGGTTGGATAACGTGAAAAATTTAACTATTGAGTTGATTCTGCTATTTAGAATTTTGGAATAAAATACCTCTTCATTACCAGAAGTTCTGGTTTTGACTTTTTTTTTTAATCCAAGATGTGTTTTATTTAAAGTGCATT